TCCTGGTAATGGTGTGCACATGCTGGAGCTTTAAATCTGTAGAGGTCTAGCAGGCAGAAGGGGTCTGAGAAAACTGCCAGGAGTAGAAGGGCGAGGGGAAATGTGGTTTAGGTTGGTAGTTGCCAAGGTTTCTGATGGATGGATACTTGGCCTCATTCTCTGGTACCACCACTGGGCTGTCTCATCAAACCTTTAAAAGAGACACTATTGAAAACAGTGTTTTCATAGAATCTGCTGGCCAGCCTTAGAGCATTTAGCCTGGCCTGCTGCACCATACTTTGGGAATGCCTTCTGAAGGGGAATTCTAGTCTACTTATTGTAATAAAGTTCCTAATTCATTGTCAGAAGACTGAAACTCTTTTGGGGATTCTGCCCTATTGTCATTTGACATGGTGGCTGTTGGGGATTGTGGATGGTTTAGAGGCTTATGGGGGGTATTGGCCTATCACAGATTCCCTGGAAGCTGCTGTGTGCCATGGGGGGCCTTGGAGTCTATTCTGTCTTGCAGAAGGAGCATGCTCTACCACCCCCAAGGAACAATAACTTTCAGACAAAGAACATTTTTTCCAGATCTCTTTTGCAAACATGGAGCTGAGTGTGGAACCCTTTCTGAGCTGAGAGGTATTGAAGAATTTTGTGCATCTGCTCAACTGTGAAGCCATGAAGGATGAATATTGGACAGAAGCTTCTTTAGAGGGTGATGTCTTGGGACTAAGTGAAGATGATTCTAGTTACTCTAAAATCAGAAAAAGAGCTCCTGAACCCTAGACAGAAGGTTTTCTGTCCTTGTTATTGAAAACAGATCCACTGAATTACAGACTACATGCCAAAGCACCTTGAAAAGCAAGGTGCTTTGGCATGTAGTCCGTAATTTTTCCATTTTTGAAAAGCAAAATGGAGTGCTCTGAAGCCATAGGAGGAATTTTAATTCCTGAGTAAATAAGCTACTTTTGATGGAGTTCCAGGATAGCTAGTGCATCACTGAGATAAATTGTGGATCCAGACCAGGTGTGGAATGTGTAGTACAACAACACAGATATGTCTGCTCAAGCAGGATCTTTTTAAGGGATGAGACGGAATGACCAGGCACACCAGCTCACTACTACCAGAAGATGAGATCCTCTATCCTTCTCTCCCTCTCTTTTTCCATCATATACTTAGTGCTTCCTCTGACACTTGTATTTCTCCAGGAGCTTATTTAATACACTGAAATGAAAGACCCATTTCTGTCGTCTATATTGTGGGCAGTCTTCTGAAATTTCAGCCGCAAAATGGGACAGTGGACTATGGTGGCCTTCTGAAGGGGCCAAGAAAGAGAGTGGCACAGAAAGTGAGAAGGAGGAAAAGAAAAAAAAAAAAAAAAGGACAGACTTCATATTTTCAGCTGCAAGGAGATATTTATTGGCTTTATCTACCCATTGAACTTATGCTGTGGCTTTATGCCACTTAAAACAAATTTTCCAATTAAAATTGAAGTTTTCATTTCTAAAAATTGCAAATGCCATTTTTCCATTCTTTTCACTTGCATGAGGAACTGATAGATAAACTGCATTTTTAGCTCTTCACATGCCTGAATTTTTCTGAACTTGCTGAATTCCATGACCTAGATGTTGGTCTTCTCTTGTTTCATGAGATATGTTCCATGTCTTCTGTAGGTTTTTCTTCACATGAATCACTTAGCACTAATAAAATCTTCAGCTAAGGGAAAAATAGATAAGCCAAACAGCAACAAAACACTGAATGTCAAGCATATGGAACTGCAATTTAAAATGTGGAGTAAGCTTCACTGCTTTACCTAGTCCTTTGTTCCTGTGGACATTCAGATTACAGCAAGAAGAGCTGGGGCATAAATACAATGGTCTTCAGAAGCAATGACTAATAGGGAAAGGCAGGTCAAATATCAACCAACATTTTTAGCCTGAGACTCATGAGGTTTATACACTAACAGCTAAATATAGGATCATTCTCCTAAGTTCAGACAAAATAATTAAGGACAGAGAGAATTTTATGTGGTTCAGGGCCCACTAGGAAGAGCAAAGTCAAGTAATATATTTTCATAAGTCTGAATTCTTGTTTTCTGTGAACACACTGACAAACTGACAACTTGAATGACTGACAACTTCAACACTCAGTTGGCCAGAGCAAACCTGTTCCTTTCACTGATGACTGTAGAGTTTTCTTTACCGAAGACCTTTCTCTCTGTAACAGAACCTTGGGAAAAACTAGATTTTACATTTGGGAGTATTCAACTACACTAGGTACTTTGTTCTTTTAAAAATTGTGTTAGTTGAATAAAAATAAAAAGCAGAAACAGACCTTTTTTTTTTTGGGAGGATCAGCAGTAGAAGTATAAGCATAAGCATTAGTGGTTCAAGGATCCTACATTTAGACTTTAGCTTGTCTGTCAGGGAGTGTTTCTGTTTATCATGACATTAAGTAAAAAATGAGATATTTATAAAAAGGTGCTCAGAATAACATATCTTTGCAGCCAGCTCACACCTTTGGGCACGCACCTGCACCTTGGCCTTAGGTAGTGTTTTGCATACAACTTTGATGCAGGTATTTCAGGGTTCCTTTTGCCCCTGCTCCCCAACTCAAAACTGTGCTTGCACTTTGGATGGGACTAGACTCTGGAGTTTTTGTCTTTAAATGGTTACTAATAATTACCAGTGGACACTGCAGCAGCTGTCAGCAAGAAGGGATCAGGAGCAGGCAGCCCCACTGGAGGGAAGGGGCTAGAATTCTTGGATGTGGGGGCAGTGAATGTGTGCCCTGCAGAGTCAGAGACCCTCATATCAGGAACAAGGGAACAAACATGGGGTAACACAGAACACTAACTGAAAATGAAGAATGGGAAAAGCAGGTATAAGGTGCACATGGAATATCAGGAGCATGTGAGAAAGGAAGAATGTGAGTGTGATATGTTACAGCAATTCTGCTGCTTTAGTCTGTTGGTGTGGTGTGACTGTATGAATGGGATCCACATTTCTGCCGTTCCTTACACATTCTTGTCACATTGGCTGGTTTGCAGGCATATATCAGAGAGTTCATTTAAATTTTTTATTTATATCTGAAATCTGCTCTAGAGGAACTTGTAGGTCCTTTGCCATGGATGTTTTTATTCTTTGTCTTTGTAAAAGCAAAGATCAACCCACAAACTTACATATTTCTTTACTAATTTAGTATTGAGATGTTTATTACATCTCTCTTGCCTGGGGAAAATCCCATTTGTCTCAAGCACACAGTAGTTTCTCTGTTTCCTGTGAAAAGCTGTTCTTCTCAGTAGGCTGTGCCTCAAAGATACTTGCTCTAAAAGGCAGGCTCAACAAAAGCCACGCAGTTTGCTCCATCCTATCTGCTTTAAGCAATCGTGCAGCAAGAGCTTCTGCTAATACAAACAAACAGTGCATTCTAAAACCTGTGTATCTTTGAAAAGGTGTTGATAGCCAAGTGTAAATGAGAAGAAATCAAGTTGACAATATTTTTTAACTTACTTTTAAAGCTTACTTTAAACTTAAACTTGGAGTAAGTAGAAGGGTTGGAAGGAGTGGGGGGAAGGAAAAAGATCTCTTGCTCTTCCTTTCCTTCCTTCTCCCTTTCCAGTTTGTTTACTCTGTCCATGTGCCAGCACAATGTGGGTATTCAGTTTCACTCTTTTCGTAAGAGTTTTATACAGACATGCACTGAGTTCTTTTCATTTCTATGATTATGGAATATGGGGGATGTGAAACCTGTTAAAAAAAGTAGAGGTTCTACAAAGCCGCAGAAAATATCCCATGAGATTTAAGGACAGGTGTGGGATTTGCCCTGTTTCATGGTTAGATTTCACTGTGGCTTTGAAGAGATGGTTGCCACAGATTGTATGTTTATGGACTGCTCTAAGGGTGACCCCAGGGCTTTTGGCTGCTATTATGAGCAAAACTTTACAACTTGTATCTGCAGCAGCATCCTCCCCCTTCTTGTCATGTGTGCTGGGTAATATATGACAGGGGAACAGTGTAATGGTTCTCTAGATATCCGATCAATCACAGGAAATATCTGGCACACAGTCTTGCTAATCTTTAATATGAGTTTGGTTGCATGGGAGAATTTTCTTGCTTCTTCTCTCCATGGTTATAATCTACCTTGATTTTTTTTCACTCTAGATAGTATCTGATAAAAGATTAAGGACACGATAAGTAGCTGTTTCATATGAAATTTAAGAGGCCATTAACATTCCACTGAATAGTAAAATTGTCAAGCTAAAACCAGCTCTCCTGGCGTTCTGCACAGATGCAATAGCAAATCACTGAGTCACAGGAAATGATTCAGTCAACATTTCTAAACTTTCAATGTGTGTTTTATGGAAGAAACTTGATGTAAATGTTTAGACAGTTATGGTTTTGGAGATAAATATTGCAGTTTTATGTAGTTTGGGTTTTGACGTACCAGAATTGTGGTGCACAGTTGTCAATTTACTGAACATCTAAAGCTGTTCCATCATTGTATTTGATTCCAGTGTGGGATGTATTTTCTGTGGCTAATGAAACATGGTGTTACATTTGGGCATAACAGATTACACATCAGAATATCAGAGAAAAATTATCTTTAAATGACCCAGGATTCCCTCTGCACTGCTGGAAGAGAACTTGCCTGGGCTGCCACACTGTTTTCCTTAATTGTTTGTCTCCTTATCCTGCAAATACAGTGCTTCAGTGATATGACGTCTCATGGCAGGTTATCCTCTGCCCTAAACAATCTCACTGGTTTAGAAGGTTAAGTTCAAATATTCCTTTGCTTCTCATTTTTATTTCATTAATTAAAATAGGCAGAGTGCTGTTAAGTCAAAATTCACCATTCTTATGTTAGTTGCTTGTAGTTAAAGTGTTTCTTGCATTTTTAAAATAATTTTTCCAGTAGAATTAAAAAAATTGTTTTGCTTGATAAGTAAATGGACCTGCAGTGTGCTTCAAAGGCATTAAATCAGTGTTATGGTTCCTGTACAAATCTCTTATCCTTAGGTATACTTCTGTGAAGAAGGCTTGCTACCAGCGGCATGATAGACAGATTCTGCCTTCAACCATATAATTTCGATGTGCTTAACTTGTCTGTAGAGGAAAATAATCCCAGGAGACAGCTTCTGCAGGTGAGCAAGTTCTGCTCGTGTGAGGAAATCAGTGTTTGAATCTGAGACAGTGGAAGAACGGGTGTTGAATGTTTCTGGCTGTAACAAGTGAGGACAGACATGACAAGACTGGTTCTTTATGGTCCTAGATTCTCTCCTAGAGGTAGGCTACTCTGGAAAGAAGGGAAAAGAGACCCCTCTGAATGACCAGGATGAATCAGCCACCCTATGCACCATAGGGCACCAGAGGGTGACCAAAGAGTTTAGTTTTGTCTGGGCTGGGCTGTACCAGCTGTGGGTGCCCAGGTGCTGGCAGAGGATGATGCAGGGATCTCTGTGGCAAGCAGCCAGGGCTGCCCTTTGCTGTCCACAGCCCATTCCAGACAAATCCAATGGCCCCACCACAGCCCTTGGCTGAGCCCTTGGCAGTCAAGGTGGTGGTACTTCAGAAATAATGTGTGTAAGAAATGGCAAATGCTGCCTGGCAGTGAGGGCTGAGGAATAATATGAGAGAACCAGCCCTGGGAGCCATGAGGCAAGATCAGCAGGACAGGAGGAAGTGCTCCAGTTGTCCCAGCAGAGACTCCCCTTCAGTTCTTAGATAAAAACCATGGTGATGGAGGTTTGACTCCCTGTGGCCCACGGGGAGCAGAAATCCACACTGCAGCTCATGGAGGACCGCATGCTGCAGCAGTCTTTTCCTGAAGGAACTGCAGCACAGGTGAAGGGCCCAAATGGAACAGTCCATGAAGATCTGGAACCCATGGAGAGGACCCAGGCTGGAGCAGAAAACAGCATGAGGAGGAAGGAGCAGCAGAGAGGAGCTGTTATGGACTGACAACAGACCCCATTCCCCATCCCTTATACTGTTTGGTGAGGAGAGGGTAAATGAGTCAGGGGTAAAGGAGTCAGGGGTAAAGTCCCACTTCTGCCTGGGAAGAAGGCAGAAGTGAGAAGTAGATGGTTTTACTTATGTCTTTGTTTCTCACATCTTATTGTGTCCTGGTTTTCCTGTAGCAGTAATTGATGACTGACCTCCTTGTCTTTATCCTTTCTAATTTTCTCCCCTTGTCCTGCTGAGGAAGGGGAGTAAGGCAGCTGCTGGGGGGGCATCTGGCAGCAGAGCAGGTTCAGCCCACCATAAATGCATTTTGTTATATGTAGGGGACTATGAATATTCTAATTAAACCAAATACTTGCTGTGTAATTCCTAATGATGAAGTCTTTGATGTTTAATTGTTTTTGAGGGAGATATAAAGAAAGGTGAGCAGGAAAGCAGAGCTAATATTGAATAGATACTCAAAGAGAAAAACAAACACAGGTAGCTTTCACTGCAAATTGTCTTAATTTTCTTGTAAGATTTGTAATGACAATGTTTATTGATTTTATTTTTATCTCCAGGGTGAATTTTCTTAAGTAAAAGACAATAAATAGTAAAAAAAAAATAAAAATCACAATGCTAGTGATATGTAGCAAAGAACCCCAAACAAGCCCTCAAAGTTTTAAAAATGAAAATGTGTCCTTTGTTCAACAGCCTGTAATAGCTAGCTTTGATAATTCTTGAAGCTTTTGGATTTCCTTTTAAAAATTTTAAACTTAGTATTGATATGGCCACTTATAGTCTTCTTGAAAGGACAGAGAGAAGCATCCTTATAGGGCTTATACCCTGTATTCAGTTTTGTAATTTATAGCATTTTTTTTAAGTGCACTATTCTTTGTGAAATTTCTCAGGCAGCAGATGGCCAGAAATAAATTATTTTTACAACAAAACAAAAAATTCCTTTAGTATCACTGATACATGTAATTAATTGAAACTTAAAGAAACTACTGTTAATTAACTTGTCAAACTTGCCTCCTTCACCTATAAATCCTTTTCAAAGTATTTGTTGCCAACTAATGTTCACTTTTCCTGCAGAATACTTACTACTATTAATATAAAATTGGCTTAAAGTAAATAACGTAGTGATTATCATAGCTAAGGTATAATATTGAAATTGTTGAGAGTGTATGCACATAGAAAATACTGTGACTCATGGCTTATCAGACTAGCTCAAGAAACAAAAAGTTGGGGCTTTTTTTAGTATAATGCTTCTGTAATTCTTCTGGGTCTGTCAAAGACAAAGTAGTTACAACAGCAAATGTAAAATATACATGTCAAGTGAAACAGTGAAAAAGAAATTCTGCATGAAAAGTGGGACAGACTTCTTCATCTCCCTTTCTGAACAGATTTTACATTTATCCTGACTTATGTGATCCTTCTCTTTCAGCTAAATTGTGGTAAAATGAGTCTGCAGTAGTACAGTAAAACAGAAAGGAGGAAAATGTTAAGCTTCTGTTTAAGAATCATACATGGAATTATCTGTCATAATGAAGTTTATAGAAATTCATCAAGGACAAATGCCAGGCCATGTGCCAGGGAAGGAGGGACCCCATGAGGACCACAGGCTGGTGACAGAGTGACCAGCTCTGTGGAAGGGGCTGGAAGTCTGATGGACATCAGGTTGAGCAGGATCCAGCAATGTGTCCTGGCAGCGAGGGAGGCCAACAGCATCCTGGGCTGTAGCAATGGGAGTGCAGTGAGTGGCTGGAGGGAAGTGATGATTCCCGTGTGCTCAGCACCTGTTAGACCACATTTGGACGCTGTGCTCAGTTTGGGGCCCTTGCAAACAAGAGGGAAACTGGTGTGGGTTTAGAGGAGGACCACAATTGGGGGCTGGAGCACTTGCCCAGGGGAGAGAGTCTGTGAGTGTAGGGTTTGTTTAGCCTAAGAAGGGGGGAATATGTTGGGGGCCCCTAATAGCAGCATCCCCCTACATGGGCCAAGGTCATAAAGACAGAGCCCGGCACATCTCAGTGGCACAACGTGGGGCGGTGGCAGTCAACAAGCAGAAGTTGAAACAAGAGAGGTTCACAGTATGGCTGAGGAGAAACATTTTCACATCAAAGACACTCAAGATACTGGAATATGTTTTCCAGAGAAGGTTATCTACTCCCTGCTCTTGAGGATTTTGAAGTCAGATTAAATAGACCCATGAGACTTGTTCTGCTATAAGCAAGATACTGGACTTGAGATCTCCTCTGACTTGAATTACCCTGTGATTCTATGTGATGATGATGTTATTGGAGGAGAGACTTTGACAAGTTAGGGAGCTGGACAATCACCAGTGTATGAAGTTCAGCAAGGGAAAGTGCCAGATTCTGCACCTGGAGTGGGACAACCCTCGCTGTACAAACTCAGGAATGAGATGCTGGAAAGCAGTGCTGGGGAAACAGACCTGGGGGTCCTGATTGATGGCAAATTGAATCTGAGTGCTGCTCTGGCACCCAGGAGGGCCAGGTGTGTCCTGGGGGCATCAGGCACAGCATCACCAGCCAGGCAAGGGAGGGGATTGTCCTGATCTGCTCTGAGCTGGGGCAGCCTCACCTCCAGTGCTGGGGGCAGTTTTGGATGCCACAATATCGAATATTAAACTGTTAGAGAGTGTCCAAAGAAGGGCAATGAAGATGGTGAAGGGCCTCAAGGAGAGGCTGTATGAGGAGTGCCTGAGGTCACTTCAGGTGACCTCAGGTCTGTTCAGCCTGCTCTTCAGGAGAAGAGGAGACTAAGGAGAGACCTCATTGCAGTGTGCAGCTTCCTCATGAGGGGAAGAGGAGGGGCAGGCACTGATCTTTTCTCTGTGGTGACCATTGACAGGATCAAAAAAAATGGCCTGGGGTTGTGTCAGGGGAGGTTTATATCAAGAAGTTTACATCCGGGGAGGTTGAATATCAAGAAAAGATTCTTCATCCAGAGGGTGGGTGGCTGGGCACTGGAACAGACTCCCCAGGGAAGTGGTCACAGCACCAGCCTGACAGAGTACAAGAAGTGTTTGCACAGTGCTCTGGGGCACATGGTGTGACTCTTGGGATGTCCTGTGCAGGGCCAGGATTTGGACTTGATGATCCTGATTGATCTCTTCCTACTTAACATATTTTTTGATTATAATGATGATGATGATTATATTTTAAAATTATTTTCTGTGAGAGGTTGAAAGACTGTTGTAAAAGGATGTCCTTTCCAGAGTTTACATTGTCTCATTTTAAAAGTATCCTTAAGTACTTTTCATTTGTGCTGAATGTGATTTGATGTAGATGAAACAAATGGTGTCTGACACAGAAGACTTCAGAGCTTTTAATTCTGTAATTTCAAGACGTGTAGATAATTACATATTTTTCCTCAAATAAAAATAATCCTCTGCTCATTTTGGCAAATATTTATTCATCTCTGCTGTTTTAATTGGCAATTAAATGAATGGAGCATGACTTCTTTATCAAATAAATACTTACTTTAGAAATTAAGGGTATAATTTGAAAATAAAATGTAATCTTTGAGTAGAACAGATTGCTAATATTCAACAACTATTCATTATCTATTTTCACTTTATGTTTTGGCTGTTTAAAAGGATATAAGAATATATTCCTAAACTCAGCATTAGATGCAGGAGCTACATTTTCTGGTTGGAAGTTCTTGAACAGACCTTACAATAGGCTCAAGTGAGCTAAAAATAAACTTCTAGCAGTTCATATTAACTGGGTAATAACAGGCAACAGCAAAAAGCAGTATCCAGCTATGATGAAAACAGGAAGCACATTACACAATCTGCTCTTTCCAGATAGGTATGAATTCTTAAAGGCTTAACTAAAATAATAATCCCTCAAAGTTTTTAATAAAAGCAGAGAGTTTTCTATTGTTCCTAGCTGAGTGGAGACGAAAAACATGCACCCCAGTACATTGTGAAAGATCTGCTGTGTCCTGGGAAACAACACTATTTCCATTTAGTTCTTGGTAACCCTGATTCAATTTTAAGTAATGGATTTGGTCCTGCAAAGGCTGAGCATCTGAGCCTTATCCAGCAAAACTGCATGGTGCTGTTAAGCCTGGGAGCATTGTGAGTTGCAAACCCAGAAGGTGACCCCTGACTGGCTTGGGTGAGAAAAGAGTGCTGAGCTCCTGTCATTGATGCTGAAGGCATCTGTGCTCC